TTTAAGAAAGGTTTAAGGCAGGAAAGTTATGCACTGGAAAAAAAAGAAAAAGAAAAAAAGCACAACCTAAAAGTTGAGGATTATGTTTTACTTGGTGGACATTCTGAGGACTTCAAGCCCAGGACACAGCATCTCAGATAATGCTAAGAAAGTATTCTGAAGAGGTGAGGGAGGATCCAGGATATACAGGAGGTTTTGCAACAAAGATCAGGTAGTCAAAATCAAAAAGATTACTGTGAATGAGAGAAAACCAGTTATCTCAAGTTAAGCAACTTACATAGCTTCTCTATGTATGGGGAGATGCAAAGTCTGGGCTCACTGAAATCGTTCCTTCGATCTGCACCTCGGCTATCTGGGGCCAGCATCCTGTGTTTTCTGCATCCCGAGTCTGCTCTGTGCACTTGCTGGAGCTGGCTGCAGTGGTGGGCATTTCCAACCTGAGTTCCCTCAGGGCTGATCGTCAGGGTGGCTGTGATGTAGTGGCTTGACGGCTACAACATCCTTTGTTTACTGATACTGTAACCAAAAGTGCGGTCCAGCTGCTTGCTGGTCCAAAGCCAATAAAGAAGCAAGGTTGGTGGAAAGGAAAGTTTGCTTTATTTTGGGTGCTGGCAACCAGGGGGGAGCTCTGCCCCCCACCCGACAATCAGGGGCCAAGAGCTCTTATAGACAGAGGGAGGGGGCTACGTGCAGAAACAGCGATGTCAGCTCAGACGGTCATCTTGAAATTGGTCCTTGGTGGTCTGACCAGCGTCATCTTGATTGTTTTAGGTACAGTTAGTCTTCAGTTCCAGGGTTGGTTGTTCCCATTTCCTTGAGGCCAATTCTCAGAATTGTGGCAGCCTGTGTCATGGCTACAGCCTGGTCATCATGTAGTTCACGTCTTCCGCCTGGTGGGGTTTCAGTATCTACAAGACAGCTCACAGGACATGGCTCAGAATATTATCAATAGCCCTCGAGGAGGAACTAAAGGTCCTTGACTTTGCTTAATGACTAAACCATTATTATTTAGTCTCGTTGGACTGTTTTCCTTTGTTTCTGTATTTTCTCACTTCTCTGATCAAACTTATTCTTTGGCCAGAGTTTTTCTACAGACAAAAGGCAGGGGGAAGACATGGGGGGCAAGGACCACAGGGTCCTGTTCCGTTTCAGTATGGCAGGCAGTATTGCTGCTCTGATAATCATTAAAAAAAATTTTTTTATTGGAGTCTAGTTGATTTACAATGTTGTGTTAGTTTCAGGTGTACAGCAAAGTGACTCAGTTATACATATATCCACTCTTTTTTAAGATTATTTCCCCATATAGGCCATTACAGAGTATTGAGCAGAGTTCCCTCTGCTATACAGTAGGTCTTTATTAGTTATCTATTTTATATATAGTAGTGTGTATATGTCAATCCCAATCTCCCAATCCACCTTTCTCCCCCGGTAACCATAAGTTTGTTTTGTACATCTGTGACTTTCCTTTTGTTTTGTAAATAAGTTCATGTGTACCCTTTTTCCTTACTTTCCACATATAGTAAGTGATATGATATTTGTCTTTGCTGACTTACTTCACTCAGTATGGTCATCTCTAGGTCCATCCATGTTGCTGCAAATAGCATTATTTCATTCTTTTTTATGGCTGAGTAATGTTCCATTGTGTATCTATGTACCACGTCTTCTTTAACCATCCATCGATGGACATTTAGGTTGTTTCCATGTCTATTGTAAATAGTGCTGCAGTGAACATTGGGGTGCATGTATCTTTTTGAATTATGGTTTTCTCTGGGTACATGCCCAGTACTGGGATTGCTGGGTCATATGGTAGCTCTATTGTTAGTTTTTTTGAGGAACCTTCTTACTGTTCTCCATAGTGGCTGCACCAGTTTACATTCAGTTGTGCTTCTTTACAAGAGTGAATCTTCACAAGATTCTGGTATCACTCATGACCGTTCCCTTGCTCTGTGGTCTTACTAGCTGGACGATTTATTTCATAAGAGGAATAACTTCCCGTCTGTGGCACTGCTTCCTCTCACACGACTTTGTACACCCTGTTGTGGCTGTTTAGTGGGCGGTGCGAGACCAAGGTGCCGAACATCTTCTGGAAGCAGGATTCCTGAGATTTGACATCTAATTCTTGATGCATCCTACGTCCAGCCAGACGTGCGTCTCCTGACATTCAGTAGATGTCTTGCAAATCAAGTCACGGGATTCTTCTGTGTTTCTTAATTCGTCCCCCTTTGATGTAACATTTAGGAATTCTATTTGAGATACTGGTCTCGCCGATCACCACACACTGACGCATTTCGAATGAGCGCAGCACGTCCGACAGGGCCATGCATGGAATAATGCTCAATGTCAGCTCTAATTTTGAAATACGTTTCATATTCCTACCCTGCTTTTGGTCACTTTGTGTTAAACGTTACCAACTATATTGTGGTCATAGCTTTAAAAACGTGGGTATATTGTTGAGGAAGTTTTCTCTTTTCCGTGTTTCCATGGCTGCTGGGGAGTAGCAGTCATGGAACCCCATCGAAATTCTATGAAGCTTTAGCCTTTTGCTATAGACTGTGGACCTCTCAAGGGCAAAGATCCCTGACCACTTCTTTCCCTAATTCCATTTTCAGCAGAAAGCCTTAGAAGTGGAAGGTACTTAATGCACATTGAGTACATGAAGGAAAGAAGGAAGAGAGAGCAGGGGGAGAGAAGGAAGGGAAAAGAGAGGAGGTGTTTCTTGAGCAGTGTCAGGCAAGTTACAAAGCATTCAGGAAGGTGAAGTGTCTCACTTTTCCTAAGTCATATAATTAAGCTTGTTGGAAACAATCCCGCCGTGACTCAGCCTACCGAGCCTCAGAACATCTTTATACCGTGTATCCCCTGAAAAGAGTGGCCAGATCTCACCTATCAGTCTCTTCTTCCCCATGTCCCTAAACGGAGTCACTGATTTTTAGAAAGGGTGGATTTGACTGTCCAGCTGATGGGAGATTTCCAATCAGGAGCAGCTCTAGCCTTTAGGCTTATGGACTCCAGAATTCATCTCAAAGGCGTGGGCTTGGTGATCTGCGAGACTGATGTGAGCTCAAGTTAATGACTGACCCAGGAGACATAGATGACCCCCCCCTTACTACCCTACACCTGGCCTCTTCTTGGATTTTTCTGCTTCCAGTTCATGGGGAGACTAAAGTACACCAGGGAACTCTACCCTACACCTGGTGTGTCCACAGGTAAATGGTGACCTGTGATATCCCAAATCCCACCTCTCAGCAAGGACCCCTTCACCTGCCAACCCCTGCTGGGCCCACCAAGTCAGCCAGATAAATCTCTGTACCTTCCTCTCAACTTTTCTATGAAACAAAAACTACTCATAGACTCTCTTCAGAAGAGAAGTACAGGGCTTCCCTGGTGGTGCAGTGGTTGCGAGTCCGCCTGCCGATGCCGGGGACACGGGTTCGTGCCCCGGTCCAGGAAGAACCCACATGCCGCAGAGCGGCTGGGCCCGTGAGCCATGGCCACTGACCCTGCGTGTCCGGAGCCTGTGCTCTGCAACGGGAGAGGCCACAACAGTGAGAGGCCCGCGTACGGCAAAAAAAAAAAAAAAAAAAAAGAAGTACAACAAAATCAAATGCTTTACCAAAAAAATACAAAGGGTATAATTTTAGACATTGGAATGAATTTATATGCCCAAAGCTTATCATTGTGACATTTTTTCCCTAAAATTACCTGTTATTCATAGTTAAGTGAGTAGTTTATATATTAGCATATTTATTATAAATAGTCTCTGGTCCCAGCCTGGAAAATTCCATTGATAGAATTGTCCTGTGGCAATAATATCATAAAGCAGTTCTGAAATTGTAATAACATTTTGGAAACTTAAGTTTTGACCAGAATTAATGGTTATGTTAAAATTTACAGTGAAATCATTGTTACGTTATGATTTAGCATTAAAAAAATCAAAATAAAACCCTGCGTTTCATGTCAGGTTTGGTTTCACGATCAAAGCCTGAAACACCAAATTAAAGGTTATTCTACAATATTTGTGACACTGTCTCAAGCCAGAAGTATAAACTAAAGGCTTCTCAAGAAGGAGCAGAATCTGATTAGGAAAAAAAAATGCCATTAAAAGTTCAAGACAATCTCAAATGAAATTCCTGACAGAAGATTTCTTAGAAGTCAGTTAAATTTTATTGTCTGTATTATCATCTTTATAGGAGTTGGAAAACCTCTAGAGAAGTGAATTAAAGTTGATTCTTTGGCTTGTAATAAAATAATTTACCTAAGGGGATGTCTTCAAAATGATTTTTAAAGTAAAAATCATAAAAGAAAAATAAACCCAGGGAGGTTGTCTACATCATTTTTTTTTCTTTTTCTTTTTTTTCCCAAGGAATTGTATAACTAATGCTTAATAAACCTGGGATCTGTCACTTGCTAACCTGAGCCCTTCCCTGGAGAGATCAGTGGATTTCTTCTCTGCTGAAGGTATGCCAGTTGCAGTCCACAGCGAGCGAGTCGTAAGTCTGCCTTCTCATATGGCAGAAACACCATTCGCCAATGTTCTTCCCTGCACACGGTGCTCCAAACCCCATAACCTTTTCCCTGAATGGAGCTCACGTCACCCATTCACACAGTCATTATCCAAACAGCCCAAATCCCAGTGATTTATGGGTTCTGCTGTAGCAGGGCTAAAATGGAAATGTGGATGATAACCGTCATTTTCAGGTTCAGAGCTGGCACTGTGGGTCTAAACTGATTCTTGACTGTTTGTTGCCTTGCCAACAGGTAATGCTACATTTTGTCTCTCCCTGCAGCCACAGAAACGGATGAGAATATTTGTCTCTTGAATGCGTTAGATCTCCCTTGGTACCTTTTCCCAGAATATGACTGTTTTTTCCTCTGCAAGTCATGGTGAAAAAAAATCTTTTGTTTAACAGTTGGGCTATATGTAGTGGTATCCCTGGGTTCACTGATACCCATACAGTGAGGGAATAAATATTAATTTATTGGGGAGTTTCTATGAAAACTCACAGAATCGTTTATATGACTAGTTCTTTTACAGTGATTTGTGAACTGTGCATTCTTGGCTTCTTGCATTTAAGGTTGAAAAGAGATGCCAATTGACCTTGAACATGCTTGGTGTCTACACCCGTATTTATAGTGAGGTGAGGGGGGGTTCACCAAGGACCCTGACATGGAATACTTTCTCCCCAAGTTTCTCTCTCTCCGCATCCTATTAACTGCATGGTGTTGACAGTGAGCTCAAATAGTCTCATCTCTGTGTTTCTTCTTGTTTATTCTCTGCCTCTGACCCAGAATATAAACACCATGAGTCCAGAGATTTGTGTATCTGCCTGTTCAAGTATGTAACCCCTGGTAAGTAGTGGGCACACAGTAAATATGTGTTGGTTGGATAAAAGAAAAACATATATATAGTTATCCATACATAATATATTTTATAAAACATCTTTATTGGAGTATAATTTCTTTACAGTGTGTTAGTTTCTGCTGTATAACGAAGTGAATCAGCTATATGTATACTCATATCCCCATATCCCCTCCCTCTTGCGTCTCCCTCCTACCCTCCCTCGTATATATTATATACTAATAAGTGATATATTGTATATGTAAATAGTAATGCATAATCAATTTATTGTGTTTATAATTAAATTAATAACACTTATTATCATACATACATGACAAAAAAAATAAGACAATGTTAAAAGGGCATGGGGTTCAATGAATCAGAAACACACACAAGAGTAGTTTCAAAACAAATTACTTTAAGAATATTCTTAACCTAATAATATATAATAATATCTAGCTAGCTATCTAGTTATCTATTTATCTAGAGAGAGATTGGATGTTTTCATTCCCCCTGCCACCCAATGTGATGGTATTAGGAGGTGGGGTCTTTGGAAGGTGATGAGGTCATGATGGTGGAGCCCCATGAATGGGATTAGTGCCCTTATAGAAGATGCCACAGAGCTTCCTTGCACCTTCCTCCATGTGAAGACACAGCAAGAAGATGCCGTCTACAAACCAGAAAGAGGATCCTCACGAGACACTGAATCTGCCAGCTCTTGGATGTTGGACGCCCAGCCTCCAGAACTGTGAGAAATTAGCATCTGTGTTTTGTAACACCTGCACCCACCCCCCTGCCAGCCTGTGGTTTTCTGTTACAGCAGCCTGAACAGACAAAGACATATATAAAGTAGGTGGGGGGTTTCTCTAGTGGTGCAGTGGTTAAGAATCCGCCTGCCAGTGCAGGGGACATGGGTTCAAGCCCTGGTCCGGGAAGATCCCACATGCCGCAGAGCCACTAAGCCCGTGCACCACAACTACTGAGCCTGCGCTCTAGAGCCTGCGAGCCACAACTACTGAGCCCACGTGCCACAACTACTGAAGCCTGCATGCCTAGAGCCTGTGCTCTGCAACGAGAAGCTCCTGCAATGAGAAGCCCACGCACCGCAAGGAAGAGTAGCCCCTGCTCGCCGCAACTAGAGAAAGCCCGCACTCAGCAACGAAGACCCAACGCAGCCAAAAATAAATAAAGTAAATAAATCTATTAAAATAATAAATAAAGTAGGTGGTAGTGGTTAGCAATATATTGACAACTTTAATGATTTCACAGATAACAGAATAAAGTAGAACTACCTCAAAAAAACCAACTGTGAGGGGCTTCCCTGGTGGCGCAGTGGTTGAGAGTCTGCCTGCCGATGCAGGGGACACGGGTTTGTGCCCCGGTCCAGGAGGATCCCACATGCTGCAGAGCGGCTGGGCCCGTGAGCCATGGCCGCTGAGCCTATGCGTCCGGAGCCTGTGCTCCGCAACGGGAGAGGCCACAACAGTGAGAGGCCTGCGTACTGCCAAAAAAAAGAACAAAAACAAAACAAAACCAACTGTGGACATACAGACAGACATTACAAGGGAATATTAATAACATCAAAGGATAGATCATAGAAAATGGACATATTAGAAAGTGTTCTTTTCATCTGCTAGACCTTACGTTCAAGAGAGAACATTTTAAACAGCTTGACACAAGACATTTTTCTATTTCCCTATGAACCAATTCAGCAAACTTTTAGTTTCCATTTTATTCTCATTAGTCTTTTTTTATTGACGTATAGTTGATTTACAGTGTTTCGTTAGTTTCTGGTGTACAGCAAAGTGACTCAGTTATACATATATACATTCTTTTTCATATTGTTTTCCATGATGGCTAATTACAGGATATTGAATAGGTTCCCTGTGCTCTACAGTAGGACCTTGTTGTTTATCCATCCTATATGGAATACTTTGCATCTGCTAATCCCAAACTCCCGATCAATGCCCCACCCCGCCTTGGCAACCACAGGTCTAGTCTGTTTCTGTTTCACAGATAAGTTCATTTGTGTTATATTTTAGATTCCACATATAGGTGATATCATATATTTGTCTTTCTCCGTCTGACTTACATCACTTAGTATGATCATCTCTAGGTCCATCCATGTTGCTGCAAATGGCATTATTTCATTCTGTTTTATGGCTAATATTCCATTGTATATATGTACCACATCTTCTTTGTCCATTCATCTGTGGATGGATACTTAGGTTGCTTCCATGTCCTGCTATTGTGAATAGTGCTGCTATGAACATAGGGGTGTACGTTTCTTTTCCAATTAGTTTTCTTTGGGTATATGCCCAGGAGTGGGATTGCTGGATCATATGGTAGTTCTGTTTTTAGTTTTTTGAGGAACCTCCATACTGTTCTCCCTAGTGGCTGTATCAATTTCCATTCCCATCAACAGAGTAGGAGGGTTCCCTTTTCTCCACACCCTCTCCAGCATTTATTACTTGTAGATTTTTTGATGGCCATACTAACCAGCGTGAGGTGGTACCTAATTATAGTTTTGATTTTCATTTCTCTAATAAGTATTGATGTTGAGCATCGTTTCATGTGCCTGTTGGCCATCTGTAAGTCTTCTTTGGAGAAATGTCTGTTTAGGTCTTCTGCCCATTTTTTGATTGGGTTTGTTTGTTATTTTGTTATTCAGTTGTATGAGCTGTTTATTTTGGAAATTAAGCCCTTGCCAGTCACATCATTTGGAAATATTTTTCACCTAGTCCATAGGTTATCTTTTCAGTTTGTTTATGGTGTCCTTCACTGTGCAAATGCTTATACGTTTGATTAGGTCCTATTTGTCTATTTTTGCTTTTATTTCTATTGCCTTGGGAGACTGAACTAAGAAAACATTGGTATAATTTGTGTCAGAGAATGTTTTGCCTATGTTCTCTTCTGGGAGTTTTATGGTGTTGTGTCTTATATTTAAGTCTTTAAGCCATTTTGAGTTTATTTTATGCTGTGAGGGAGTGTTCTAACTTCATTGATTTACGTGCAGGTTTCCAAACACCACTTGCTGAAGAGACTTTTTCCTATTGTATATTCTTGCCTCCCTTGTTGAAGATTAATTGACTGTAGGTGTGTGAGTTTATTTCTGGGCTCTCTATTCTGTTCCATTGATCTATGTCTGTTACTGTGCCAATACCATGCTGTTTTGATTCCTGTAGCTTTGTAGTATAGTCTGGAGTGTGGGAGGGTTCTGCCTCCTGCTTTGTTCTTTTTCTTCAGGACTGCTTTGCCCATTCTGGGTCTTTTATGGTTCCATATAAATTTTAGGGTGATTTGTTCTAGTGCTGTGAAAAATGCCATGCATAATTTGTTAGGGATCTCATTAAATCTGTAGATTGCTTTGGATAGTATTAACAACATTAATTCTGCCAATGAAGAGCATGGGATATTTTTCCATTTCTTTTTTTTTTTTTTTTTTTTTTTTTTTTTTTTTTTTGGGTTTTTT